CATTCTACAGCGTCTACTCTCTGTAGTCCGCGCTATCGCATCCATTCTGTTCTCCGCTACTTCGTTGGATATGGCCTGTTCTCTGCACGCTATGCTTCCCTCGGCATGTCCTCTGCCTCATTTCCACCCTCCTCAGACCATACTTTGCTCCTATATCCCATTCAGCATGCTCTATACTACCTACCTCTTGATCCATTCTCCAGGTCCCCCTCTACATTCAGCACTCCCCCACCACATACTCTGTTCTTACACTCCATCCTTCGCTCTACACGCCCTGGTCTCCACCTCTCCTGCTGCACTCACGACTGTGGCGTCCCCCGGGTTTTCCATCCTCCTTAGTTCAGACTCTGTTCTTCACTGTGCATCGTACCTTTGCTGTGCCTCACAGTGTGTTTACTGTATCCCTGGCATTCTCTACTCTTCCTACACAGCACGCTGCTCTCACAGCACAGGCTTCTTTCTACACATTATCTTTTATACTCTGTGTGCTGTTTACTCGGCTCTCTCCACACTCTGTCCTGATGTGACCTACTTCGCTCTCCACAGTCCACTCTCCATACCGCAGACTCTACTCACCATGTTATCCATCTATTTTCCATTCTTTTCACCCCATTCTTTCTCCTCGTCTCTAATTCTTCACACACTGTACTGCATACCCCATGCTCCATTTACCAGGTTCTCCACACGTCACCATCTCCTGACTCATGCTCTAGCCCCACAATCAATGCTTCATTCTACTTCATGTTCTCTCCACACCCCATGCTTAACTCATCATGGTTTATTTCGTTGTCCATTCTCCTCCCTCCATGCTCTTAACCCCACTCTCCAAAGTTCATTTTGCATACTATTCTCCATGTCTCGTGCTGTACGTATCAGTTATGGCCCCAGGTCTCTGCTCTCCTCACTCCATGTTCTATTCCCTTACTCCAACCTGCATGCTCTGTAACACATACATAATTCTTTTTCACCCTGTTCTCTTCCTCGTGTTATACACTGTTGCTATCCCCCCATATCACTCCACACACTCATTTCCATATATCATATACTATTGGGGGGTTCCCCCTCCATTCTACACTCTCTTCACTCTATGGTTGCATGCTCCATGCTCCATAGTTAATCTTTTGGACTTCCGTCTCCATTGGCTAAGCTCTCCCCTCTTTTCTCCATACTCCTCAGCCCATACTTTGTTTCTATACACAAAATATCATAGTTTGTTCGTATTGTCTCGTATGTCGCTCACCAGGTTCTGCCAGCCATTCGTCTCACTCCGTATTGTGTTCCCAAACTCCTTTCTACTTACTTATTCTCTGTACGCCGTGACTATTCACCACGGTCCTCTCTCTATTCTTCTGGGGCCACACTCCACACTTCTTCCTGTATAGTCCAGTAAGCATGGCTCACACACCACTACCCAACCTCTCTGGTGTCTATTCTCCCCACTCTAGCTTGTTCGCGTAAGTTTTTCTACCTTACTCTTCGTACACCATGCCCCATTCACCATGCCCCCTTTCCTTACGCCCCATCCTGTTTCCATAGTCCGTAGCTCATTCTCCCTTTTCTACCCTCCACGCCTCGTGTTCTACTCACACTGTCCTCGCCTCCGTTATCCCTTCTCCTCACCTTTCTCGTGAAACTGCATTCTCTCCCACCAGTTACACACCGCCCTCCACTCCCTGTATGCTCCCCTTGATCCCCCAGTCCATTTGCACTCTCCACTCCATACTATGTGCTCTAAGCCTGCTGCCATGTGCGCTGTTCAATGCGTCCTTCTCTCTGTTACCCGTGCTCTCTCTCCATCCGTCACTGCTCACAGTCTTTTCTGCATCCCTCACACTCTGGTCACTGAGTTCTCTACTCCTCTCACACAGCACACGATCCACACATTGTATAAGTCTTTCTAAACATTCTGTTCTCTGAGCCCAATGCTCCATTCCCAGGGCGTACCCTATACTCTCCATTCTCCTCTCTCCATCCTGTTCCCATATGCCACGCCTCATGTTACAGTCTATTCTTCATACCTCGTACTATATTCACCATGTTATTTACCCCATTTTGTTTCCATCCATCCCATATTCTATACAAATACTCTATGCCTCATTTTACATAGTGTTCTTCTGTATTTCATTTGCCATGCACCCTGTTTTCCCCTGCACTTTGCATTTTCTCTATGTGCTCCTCTCTCACAGTCCATGCCTCATTTATACACTCTTCTCCATGTGTCATGCTGCAACATCCATGTTATGACCCATTTCCCATCCTCTCTAATCCATGTTCTGTTCCCAGGCTTCATTCTGCATACGCTACACTGCATTGCGGTTTCACCTTCATCACTGTAGCTGAGCTTTAAACCACTAGCACCAGGCCGTTCAGGCTGTAGCCTGAGCGAAGGATTTCTGTTCCCCCAGACAATGTCTCTGCTGTTGCTGCTAAAGGGTAGCTTTAACTAAGTCTCTATTGTTATAATAAAACTTGAGAGTCAAAGACTAGGCTGAAAACCTGCGAGCTCAGAGACTTAGAGTAGCAACTGGCTAATTTTCTCTCTACTGGCATCCCTGGAAGCCTCTCTCCTTCCACATGACCCCCAACTCTAGGAAGATGGTGTCCGTACTGTGGCAGGCGTTTTCACTTAGCTTGTTATTTCTGCTTAGCATGCTGGCTACTCAAAAGTGCTCACTGTATGGCAGAGCTATGCCTCTGTATGCTGTGAACACTGGGCTACTAGGAAGCCATGTCTGTTTTTTCCCCTTTCCTCTTCCCTGCCTCCCTGCCCTACTAGTTTTTTCAGGTCCTACGTAGAAATGCTAGCCCCATATTGGGTGTTTTCTTGGACTGTCAGCCCCCAAATCACAACACAAGCTTAGACTTGTTTTTAGCTAGCTTTTTTAAAAAAAAACTTAAATTAATCCATTTCTATTCATCTGTATGCTGCCCTGAGGCTTGTTTACTTCATCCATGTACTGTCCATCTTGCTTTTCTGCTTCCTCCATGTCTGTCTGTCTGTCTGGCCTCTGACTGGCTCATTGGTTCCCCTTTTCTCTCTGCCCCCTCCAAGCTCTACCTATCTTTCCTCTGCCAGCTAGTGGCCATTCAGCTTTTTATTAGACTAGTCAGGTGCCTTAGGCAGACAGTGTGAAACAGCAACACATCTTTACATAGTTAGTCAAATGCAGCACATCTTTACATAGTTAAACAAGCATTCCGTTCCACAGCACTGCACAGCTAATGCTTCATTTTTAACTCTGTCGCTGTACTCAGACTTCATTATACACATTCATCTCTATGCATCATGCACCACTAGCCATGCTCATCTCTCCAGTCCCCTCACTCCAAACAACACACTTCATCCTGTGCAATGTCATCTGTAACTCAGTCTCTCTTGTTCAAGTTTTCCCATGTATTGTCCATTCTCTTCACTCTATACTCTGGTCTCCTGTGCCATATGTCATTCTCTATAGTCTATTCTTGCCAACCATCATGTTCCTTCCACCGTCTCCATATTGTTCACATACTTCTCCCTGCATATTTTACTGTCTGCACATCCCATTCGCTAAGTCCTCCCTGGCAATCTCTACTCTTTTCACTCAGCACACTGTTTACACATTACGTACTATGTTCTACTCCATCTGTTCTCGGTACCCAATGATCCAGTCACAGTGCTAACCTCCCCATCCTCTAATTTCCTCTCTCCACTCTCTCCCCATATACCACACTTCATTCTGAAGTCTATCCTCTATACATCGTGTCATTCATCACAATACACACTCACCCGCTCTCAAACTCCATGTCTCGTTCTCTAGAGTGTTTTCTCCACACCTTATATCCATTCACCAGGTTCCTGTTTCCATTCTCTATGTCTTCTCTCCATACATTCATGACTCTCCATCCTCTGTTTCCCACATCTCATTGTGCAGTCACCATGTTATTCCCTGCTTTCTATTCTCCCTTCCCGTGCTCAATTTCCTACAATTCTTCATTCCATATACTCTCTATCTCACACCTACATCTTTATCCACCATTTTACAAACCCAGTTTTCCAGTTTCTTTACATGATGCTTTGTTGTTACATTCAACACATTATTGCACACGCTCAACTCCATACATAGGCACCACACTCACCATGTTCATCCCTCCAGTGTCCATTCTCTTCATTTAATTCTATATAGCTTACTCTTCATGATTCAGTGTTCACTGATGATGTTCTCTTCTTTATTGTCCATTATCCTGCATCCATATTCTGCTTCCAGATTTTGCATTTTGTGTGTTCTGTTATGTTTTTCATGCTTGAAAACATCATCAGGTATTTACTATTTTAACCAAGTTTTGCAGAATCCTAGTCTATAATAGGATTCATAGACCATTGGAAAAGTCTCTTCTTAGCTTTATGTCAAGACCTTCTTGCCAGGAAGACATTTGTTTTCCAATGCTGGAAAAAACATGAATGCTGACCATATTCTGTTCTTGGTGCTACACATGTCATTGACCCAGTGTTCTCATTATCCATTCTCTCCACTCTACATTCTGTTCCCGTGCTTCTTTCTACATAGCTTGCTTTTTGAACACCATTCAGTGTCTCTCCTCTGTTCTTCTCACTCCATATTTTATACCTCATTCTCAATAGTCTAATCTCCATACCTCCCATTCCACTGGGCATGTTCTCCCCTTCACCCTCCTCACTCCTACTCTGTCCCCAAACCTCCTGTACTTGTAATTCTCTGTACATCATGTTCCATTAAGGGTTCCACATCTATTACTCTATTCTTCCTATTACATTCTAAATAGTCTAATCCTTTTTGCCTTTTAAATTGCTTTATTAATTTCAAATCACAAAAAAGATTTGTTTCTAAAATGAATTAAATGGCCATGCTGATAGGAATGTTTAGAATTAAATGCAACAATCAAACTGTCAAGTGCAAACACTAAAGTTTACAGAAAAAGTACCTCACTAAATCCAAGCTTGTAAAACAGCAGCCACGTCATGAGCTCAAAGAAAACCTTCGATTTTAAGGTATGAGGCAAAAGCCGTAGTGATTGTCTGGCTCCGGTGTTTGGAAACACCCATAAGGCCTCATCTGCTGCTCCTTAGTCTTTCTCTTGATTTCCCTCACCTGCCCTACAAACTTCCCAACATCCTCTCCCCCTTCATTGGGATTAACATGTCTGTTTGGTATGGCCCATAGAAAATTGGGCACAAGTTGCCTGACTCATCCCCCCCTTCTGACATTTCCTCCAGGCTTCTTGTTTTCAACCTCGTCCAAGTGGTGGGATTCTTCTTCACTTTGCTGGGAGGCCTCCCTTCCCTCATCTTTTTCGTCATTCTGCACAGCAAGATCTTTTATGACTTGTTGCTCTTTGGACACCATTACTCCTGGGCCTATCGTTGCCTTCTCCTCCTTCAGGATATGCTCACCACCAGGTGTGCTGCCCAGGCTCCCGGGACCTGCTCCGCTCCTGCTTTCCATGCTGCCCAGGCCGCACCCCCCGTGCCACCAGGAGCTGTGCCACCAGGGATGCCTCAGTCAGGGATGGCAGGCCGGAGGGAGTGAGCAAGGGGCCTAAATAGTATAGTCTTTAAAAATCACCTTCCAATGGCCAATTTATCCTTTCCACTTTTCACTTTCCTTGCTCTATATTGTTCACGGAATTCATTTAATTTACTTCATTAGAAGTATACCATGCTCAGCTCACCATGGTCTCCCCTACGTTGTCTACATTGGAACCTCTGTTTCTGTACTCGCCATGTGATTCTGCATGGTCTATTCTCCACTCCTCATACTGCATTTCCACACTCCTTACTCCATGCTATGCACTTTAATCTGCAAAGTTCACGCTCCACTCATTATCATGTCTTCTCTCTTGTCATCCTTTTCCTCCTTGCCCCATACGTCATTGCACAGTCTCTTTTCCACACCTCCGATTCTGTTGACTGAATTCTTCATGGAGTTCTGTGTTCTCCACAGCGCATGCCATTCTACCTACGCAGTTACCCTGTGCTGCGTTCACTTGGCTGTCCTCTACATGCCTAGCCTATTTTCTCCATGCTCTTCCTCATATGTCATGCTTCATTTTACTTCATCTAGCCCCATGCCCACATTACATTTGTTGTTATCCATTCCATTTCCATTCTCCTTACCTTAAACCCCGGTTTTGGACTTTATACGCTGGACTGCATGAAGACTGCATATACCTCGTGCTCAATTCACCACGTTCTCCTCTGTGTTTGTCATCTCCTTCAGTTCTTGTTCCCATTCCCCGTATTTCATCCTTGACAGATTGCTCATCATCTTTTCTCATTTCCACCCCCCTCCCTCTGTGCTCTGCTCTCACCACTATTTATCCTACGCGCCCTACTCTTTGTATCTTCTGCAGCATTTCAACGTGTTAGCCCCGTTTTCCATTCTCATTTCCTCCTACTCCTCACTATATCTTCTCTGGTCCCCACACCACACGCTCAACTCACTAAGTTTTCCCTTTTTTTGGACTCTTCTCACACAACACACTGTCCCTGAATACTTCATTTGACTTACTCTGTTCTCCACAAGTCATGCTCTAGTCCCTGTGCTATCCCTACAGCCTCAGTTCTCCTCTCTGTTTACTCTGTTGCCACACGCCATGCTTTATCGAGCCTGGTTTACTCCTATTACCTCACACTACATCCACCATGTTAGCCCGCTTTCTGGTCTCTTGGCTTGATTTTCTCCTCCTATAGTCCGTTGTGCATACCCTAGATTGCACACCACATGCAATTCCCATGTTCTCCATGTAATTGTCGTCTGCTCACCCCACATCCTGTCCTGATCCGCCTTTCTGAACACCTGACACTGCATTTCCCACACCCTTCCTTTCATTCTCCCCTCTCCGTACTCTCTTCCCACATTGTGTACTTGAGCTAGCACACTGTGCTCTCCACACCCCATGCTATGCTCAGGACATGACTCCCTCTGTTTTCTGTTCCCGTATTATCTGTGCATATTGTGTACCACACGCCGAATGTTCCTTAGGCCGTGTTCTTCCTAATTTTCAATATTGTAACACCACACTGTGTTGCTATACTTCACACATCACACTGCATATTTATCTCCATACAGGACTCACCACTCATTCCCCTTGCTCCACCCCACTCTCACCTTGCTCACACACCTCCGCATAGTCTATTTCTAGAACCTGCTACAGCGTTGACAGAGTTCTCCTTCCCCTTCTTCTACACTTCTTTCCCCATACTTTACTCCCTGTACATCATGCCCGGTCGCTATAACGTCCCCTCCCCGGTCTCTATAACGTCCCCTCCGCCCACACTCCCTCCATTATCCTCACAGTCTGATCTCCGTATCTCACACTGCACTGACCAAATGCCCTCTGCAGTCTTCCTTCTTGTCACCCATGGTCTGTGTCCTTCCTGCTACACATTCCATCCTCCATATATCATTCACCATCTCCCTTCCATTTCACACTCTCCAACCCCGTCCTTTACATGCTGCACTCTCTAGTCTCAGGCTCCATTAATTACCCCCCCACAGACACACACACTTTCCATACTCTGCACTCATACACTGCTTTCCACACACTGTCTTCCAACCCACCATGCTCAAGCCACCACGTACCCCGCCCCATTCTCCTCTCTCTCTCTCCCCCTTTCTGTGCAGTACTGTACATATACACTCCGTCCTCCAGACCCTGCGATCCATCCACACTGTTATTCCCTTCGGTCTCCATTGCTTCACGGTTCCCCTACTCTGTACTTCATTCTACAAACTGTGACCCCCACACATCGCAACCTAGTCACCTCATTCTCCTTTCCATTACCCGACTTCTTCATTCCATACTCAACAATGCATCCGATGTACGTTGGCACGCGTACCTCATGTTTAACTCACCACCATCACCTCTTTGTTCTATACCCTCTTCGCTCCAGACTTCCTTCTTCATAGAGCCACACTACAGACAATAGTCTGTTGTCCACACTAAACCCCATTCACTGCATCCTCTCTTACATTTTCAGTTGTTCTCACGCGACGTCACGCCCAATGCTCCGTACACCATGTTTCCCCTATGTTCACCATCCCCCCACTCTTTAATCTGTTCCCATTCCCCGTGTTTTAATTTGCCCACTTCCTTCCAAACCTCCTTGTCCATTCACCATGTTCTCCCTTCCAGAATACATTCTCCATTCTCCACACTCTGTTCCCACACGCCATACTTCATTCTACAGAGGCTAGCCTCTGTATCTCATACTATATCGATCATGTCATCCACTCCATTTTTGTTCTCCTCGCTCTCCACACCCTTCTCATACTTCTTGCTGTATGCTGCATACTTCAAGCTCTATGCATCGTGTTCTTCTCTGTGCTTGCCAACTCATCAGTGTTCTGTTCCCATAACCCATGCCTCATTCTATATAGTGTTTCTCTATGCCTCCTGCTCCATTCACTGTGTTCTTCCATTCTCCATTCTCACTTACCACACTGTCTCTTCCGTTTCCATTCTCTTCACTGTATTGTCCAGGAGGTGTGACTTTGTTGGCGTGGATATGGCCATTTTGGAGAAAGTGTGTCACTGTGGGGACAGGCTCCCTTCATTATGATAATGGACTGAATCTCTGAAACTGTAAGCCACCACCTCAATTAAATGTTTCTTTAATAAGAGTTGCTGTGGTTATGGTGTCTCTTCACAGCATTAAGAACCCTAAGATACCGGTCTACTACTCTAGGCTTTGTTCCTATTCTCCATACTTCGTTGTGTATACTCAGACTCCGTACCTCACACTCTGTTCATGGTGTTCTCCCATCTATTGTCTCTGCTTCCACTCGGTTCTCTGTGCTTTGTAGTCTATCCACCAAGTTCTCTTCATTATTCACTTCATCACTTTATACTCTATTTTCTTCCTCTATACTTCACTCTGCATCATATATGCCCCACACTCCATATGCCAATGACCCTCTTCTTCTCTCTATACTCCTTACCCCTTAGTCATCCCCCACACTTCATTCTATATATGACAGGAAACGTATATCATGTTCAGTTCTCCATGGTCCCCACCATATTGTACTCCGTTCATCCTCTTCTGTCCTCACCTCATTCTCTACTCCTAGACTCGATAAGTAACTCTCATGTTTATGCTCCATTTTCCTCACCCAGTCTTTTCCATGCTCCACACTCCACTCTAGTCTTCATTCTTCATCCTTTGGTCTCAAACTCCAGTCTACCTTGTATTCTGTTCTGTAGAACCCTTTCTCTTATTCTGCTCCCACCACCATTCTAGACTGTACTCTGCACACCTCGTGCCTCAAGCTGCGCTGTCCATACCATGTTTATCATGGTTGGTACTCTGTGCTCAATACATTCTGTCCCATCATCTGTCCTATTATTTATGCTCTATTCCATGCTTCATCATCTATACACTCCTCAGCATGATTACATTTCATCTCCCTTCATGAGCTCCACCAATTTTTCACCCCTTATATCCTTTGTCCATGCTTCATATGCCACTGTCATTCTTCACACTCCATACTATTTTGTCAATGTTGTACACACTCAGGTTTCCATATTTCCTCCCCCGTAACTGACTCCCCAAATTATGTTCTCCACACACCACATTTGACTTTCCATTATCCATGCTATGTAATTTTTATTCTCCACCGTTAATATGCTACCTTTCATCATTTAACCACTTTTTGTAAATATTCTCCATATAATAATCTTCACATTCCAACTTCATTCTCATTTCACTGCATGTCATTCCTTGTACTCTATTCTCTGTCTTTCATATTCCAAATGCCATTCTTCACGTTTTCCTTCTGTTCTTCGTACCATACTCTCTTCTTCATATTTCATCTTTCTCCATACTTCATTTTCCATATTCTAATCCCATTATTCATTATCCACACTCTATCATTATTCTCCAGGCTCTACTCTACAACCAGATTCTTTAGATTCCATTCTCTATTCTACTCAGATCATTCTCCATTTCCATACTTTATATTCCATTCAGTATATTCAATCCTTTATTCTCCAGTTATTTCCTTTCACCAACTTCATACTTTATACTCCACCAACTAAAATTGTGTGTGTGTGTGTGTGTGTGTGTGAGAGAGAGAGAGAGAGAGAGAGAGAGAGAGAGAAACAGACAGACAGACAGACAGAGAGTTCCACATAGAAACAAAAGAAGGTAACACAATTTTATGCTCTGTAGACAGTTAAAGAATAATAAGGAGATTTTATGAAGACATTTGTGCCAATTAGTTCAACTCTATATAAATGAAATAGTTAAATATTAATGATGAGTAATCATAGACCAAAATAAAAGTGAAATTGACAATGATCTCAAACAATGAAAATTTTGGGGATAAATCTACAGAAGATATAA